GGCTGAGAACATTTCAGCATTCTCAATATAGACAAGGATAAGTGAAGTGTAAGAGAGGTTACTATTGTTAATAAGCAACAAACTGAAATCTTTCCTAACAAATCTATTCATTATCCAGATGACAATATATTACTAAGAAGTGATTCTTCCTACTTTACATGACAAAGCAGGGCTTTCTTGCACATTAAAAATATATGGAAGTTACAATAGAAGACACTTAAAAGTTACAGCACATAAAATGTATGTTTACTTAAATATATACATACATCATTTTACTATCTCAGTTTCACACATACATATGTGTGTGTGTGTATATATATATATATATATATATATATATATATACATACACATACATACATATACACACACATATATATACATACACACACATATATACACATACACACACATATATATACACACACACATATATATACACACACACATATATATACACACACACATATATACACACACACGGGTAAGAATTTCTTTTTAACACAAACATCCGATGACATTTAACAGACAGGAAGATATAATTGCAATTACTTCTCTTAAAGAAATGACTCAAAAATTACTAATTACTATGAAGTGTTGTTGATAAGGAGACTATAGAACTCAAACTATGTCTTATTTCCCAAGAAAGTAAAATTTCTAGAAACACCTCTTCAATTTCTCTCCTTGACATCAATTCAAAATGTATACAATGCCAAGAGTCATACACAATATTTGTATAAATCACATCAAAAAGTTCTAAAACACTATTAATGGCTTGTGAGAACAATGTGCTAACTACTGCACAATATCTAATGAGGGAATCTGATAGCATTGTGAAAGTATAAAATATCAGTACCTTCTTTTTTTGTTGCATTTAGTTCTTTTAGCATATAGATTTACTATATAAAAAAAACGTGTGTTATTTGTTGGCCCCCACCAGCTATGGATTAAATAGCAGAATAAACTAGGCTCTCTAAACATTGGTGGTAATCAGTTTAAGAGTAGAAAAACCCTGAATTTCAAACTGTGGTTAAGGCAACAATAAACCACTATCTTTCCTAATAAATGCATAGCAATTCAATGATAGAAAAATAATCTGGAGACTCATGATCATCTAAGAAGGAGCAAGGCAATTATTAAAACGGATTTTTAATAAAACATAAAACTTAAGATTTTTTTTTAAGGTAAGACTACAGTTAGAACAATTTACTGGGAAGACGAAATCAAACAGAGTAACTCATCTACAGTTTAACTTTAGGTATCAATTTATCAACTCCTGTACAAGTTAAACTCCTTTGTTCAAGATATTTTTCATGTGATTTAGTATAATCAATGTAATCTATCTTCATTTGATTTCCCAGAATATCATATTTTCAAATGCAATAAGTTAATGAGCCTCATCTAACTAGTTCCAGTGAATGCCTGATGAAAGCTTAGAGTCTGTGTATACACTTAAAAACCTAATGTTAATTATACAAGTTGGTTATATATGTGTATACAAAATATTACATGAAACCAATATCAAATAAATGAAAATTTATAATGCCTACTGTCATGTTTTATATCCTGTTCAATTTTATTTCTTAATGGAGATAACTAATTTTAATGTAAAAAAAAAAAAAAAAAAAAAAAAATAAAAATAATAAAAGTTTACTATTCAATTCTACTCCAGTAATTTTGCAGTCACAAGTAAGCACTTGTTGATAACTTATACTTAAGTTGTTTAGCAATTCAAATCAAACCAGTTTTGATGTAGAAGTGGTAACCACCTAAGCATTTAGATCACAGCTTGTGAGAAAGGCTATAAAAAAAGCAATGTATGAAATAAATAAGCAATGTTGATCTCTTCTACTAGTATATTTTGAAAACAAATGTTTAAATTTTTTGAACAGTTTTAACTATGAAAGTCTTGCTAGTATCATTTTACAAAATAAGTAAATGACTATGATACAGTGGAGCAAAAGAAAATGATTAAGACATGGTAATGCTTGGTATGCTTGCTTGTAAAATATAATCTTTTGCTGAAAATGCTCAATATCATTATTCCTTCGGTATCTGTCTATATTTAGACATGGCACATGGAACTAGAACAGTCTACTCCAGTGAGCGAAATAAAGGGTTCAGTTTGACATTTCAACCACCTGAAGAAGGCAGGAGCGTACAACAGCCAAAACATTGTAATAAATATGGTGACAAAGATGAGGACAATAGTCTGAATAATGTAAATAGTGTATCATTATTCCTATATAAAACCCACAAAAATATTTATATAAACTTGAATCAATATATTCAAACACTTAAAAATAATGACTGACTTATTACTAAAATAACCTTTCTTAAAACCAACTTTTTTTTTACATAAATTTTCACAAACTCCAAGCAAATGCCGTTTAAATAAAGTTTCATACTAATGAGAAGAAAATAGTTACAAAAGAATCATCTGAGTGATGGGACTAATAATTTTAACTTTCACATTGCAATTGATTCTATTTATTTAAACAGAATTGCACCAAGACTTAAAAGAAACAGGATTTTTGAAATATTTTGTGTTAGGACTCATTCTGAAGTGATTACATAACAGAAATTAAAGTTAAGAGAAAATGGGACTAATAAGTTTTTCTTTTGTTTCTGTTTTATCAAAAGCTTTTCAGATACTTATCAAATATAAGAATTAAATGAGAAGATTTATAGATAAATTTTATTATAAAGAAATTGAAGATGAAAATCCAACTATAATATAATAACTTATATTCAGAAATACAATTCAAAAAGAAAAGAATTTAAAAGAGAATTCTCATTTCTTATTTATTCTCTCTCAGAAAAATCTCAATACAAGTTTTTATAAAAGTTCACTCAAAGCATCTATTCTTCAGAATTGGAACTCATTTGAGGAGTCATTGTCCCAAGGTCATGGGAGTCTAAAACTCATTATTTCCAAATCAATTTCAAGTGATTAGATAGAAAAGTATTTGTAACAAAATTCAAATGACATTGAAGAGGAGAATAAAAGAGGACTAATAAAGTTGCTTTTTAGCAAAGACAAATAAGGAAGTTGATGGAATGAACATTTGATCCAGTACAGTTATTAGTCACAAACTAAATTCAATACACTCAGTTTCACCCAATTTAAGACTTGACAATATTCATTACACAGTTAATTATCTGTTGGCTTAAATATAAGACTCCACTTTCCTGAAAAAAAAACAAAAAAAAAACAAAAAAGAAAAAAACTGAGGTTTTCAATTACAACTAGACAATATGAATTCATTTGCTGCAATTAAAGTTACATAACCGTCAATACAGAATCTTACCAATTTTTTTTTTTATTTATATGAAGTTGTATTCAAAATATGAGAGCAAGTAAAACAATAAAGAGAATTATATTTTAAATAAGCTGTATTTTTGTTTGTTTTTTTTTTCTTTTTCACCCAGAAGCAGTGATAAGATTAATTTGTGAACATAATTTTTATCCCTTCAATCTATCCTCTACCCAAGCAGCAAAGGAGAAGTGAGGAGAAGTCTGTTTGAAGAAGTCTCTCTTCAATGCATGACCTGTCATTGGTGTCTAAAAAATCTGTTAATGGCTCCTGAAAAATCAAGATGATATGATGGCAACAAGTGCCATATATTTTATTGGATTCTTTTTATCACTTTAAAGAGAGGCTAGAGAAAGAAGAGCTAAGGCTTCTTTCTTTTGATGGAAATATGGGTCTGCACACAAAATGGAGTTTCTCCATTTAGTGGGGGGAAAAAATAATACTGATTTGTCTGATAGGAAGATAGGTCCAAAAACATGTACACAGATTATAAACAAACTAAATTCATGACTGCTTTATTAAGAACAAAAGGTTTTAACTGTTTCTATTTCATAAAATACATCTATTGGATGCTTTGGTACGCATCATCAGTGACGTTTCTTGGCAAGGTTCATTAGGGGTTTCGGGTCTTTCAAAATCATACCCCACTCTCCATGGTGACCCAGCCAATACTAATCGGGTATCAACTTGTGTACCTTCCGTTAGCTACAGTTTTTTTCCATCTTTATAACTACATTGCAATTCCCCTTAGCAATTTATAGCCAATTCCCAGTTCACCAGCAATGTGCGCTCTTCTATAAAAAAAAAAAAAAAAAAAAAAAAAAAAAGGAAGCAAACACACACACAATTTCTATCTTGTCAGAAACATGGGGGGCATACTTGGCTTGAAGTGGTAAGTAATGATTTGTTTCCCTCACGGAGACATAGACACATATTTCCAAAATATATAAAATTAAAATGATGGATAAAAATTATCAACTCCTTAAATATACTTGTAGTTAATATTTGATTGACTAAGAAAAAGTGTTTTCTGTTAGTTTTTTTTTTTTTTATTATTATTAATGATTTCAAAATTCATTCAGGTTATCCAGGAAATATTGTCATCAATCATTCTTGCAATATAATCTAAGAATGTCTTAACAAAAGAAAAAAAAAATTTCCAACACTTTGTTAATAAAATATTAAAAGAATACTTCAGAGAGCCTGGATTTTATATAAAAGAAAGATTAAATATATCTATGTTTAAAAAAATGCTATATTTATAGATGAAGAGTATTCAATATCAGAGAGAGCATTTAGATATAGACTGTGTGGACATAGGGATCAACATTGCATAGTGACTGTTGGTCTTACATCTCAATATAATCTTCAAAACAAGACTTGGTCTTAAGAAATATATACAGAGATGTTTCCTCTCAGATAATGTTTAAACCTTGACTACATATTCCTTGCTTATTTTAAAGTAGATATAGCGAATATACCATGAAAGTACACAACATCATTTTCCATATCTTAAATGACCAAAGGACAAGATCTAAACATTACTATTTCTATTTTAGGCTGAGATAGTAATCCTGAAAAGTTCAGAATTCCAAAGAACCTGAGTTAAGGACAATGCATACTTGTAAAGAGAGTGAGATTTTCAAAAGACAATTTAATAAAGATTGCATTCCTTTGATCCTTTCATTCTGCCCAATTCGGACAGTCTTCTAAGGAGAGGGAGAGAGAGAGAAAAAAAGGGGGGAAAAAAAGGTATGCACTTAGGTTATAGAATTCACAAGTATCTGAAAACATTATTTGCTTCAGACTGTTTTATCTACATTAATGCCTGCACGAATGACACGCACACACAAAGTGGTCTACATGAATAACACGCACGTACACAGCCAAACAACAATACCCATACAAATGAATGACACGTATGCACACAGACCAACTGTAGCTAAAAAGAAAAAAAACATTACCTAATTATCTTAATGCTATCATAGAAAACAAGGCGGGGTGGGGGAATGAAAATCTTTTTTGTTTTGAATCCTTTTATAATGCAGATCAATATGCACAAATAATATGTCTTTCTTATTCTCACTTGGTTCTCATCTACTATGACCTTGTGCCAGACAAAGTGAAGATTATAAGGGAAAAAAACTTTTACCCGATGAAGGGTCTTTCCTTATATATCCTTATTGTCTTTATATTTCTCTAGGAAACAACTAAAAATTAAGGAGTTTGTCAAATCTGGAGATGAAATATTCATACATAAAGGAAAAAAAAAATATGTAATGTTCATTTCCTAATTTGGGATTTACTTTCAGTTTCTTGCATATTGAATAATTATCAGAATTGAAATATATGTTATGTTTCTTGTAACTGCATTGAAAGAATCTGGCATAAATTTCGGATGAGGAGTTTCAGAACAAGTTAATAAAAATAAAAAGGTTTAAATGAGAGACCTTTATCAAATTTAATATGGGTTTGACATTTACTCAATGTCATGCTGAAATTTTACATCTAGCAATGACAACAGCCGAATTTACAGACATTATTGGATTATTTTTTTTATTTTTTATTTTTTTCACAATTGTACTCAAAGACTTCACATGTTTTTTATGATTTAAGAACTCCATTTTGATTGTGGCAAAATCGATTTTTTTTTATATTGAACCTTGAAAGTTCATATATATAAAAACTGATGTTGCTACTAGCAACCTGATTGATTTTGTATTTAGATACATATTTATGTAAGTATGCATGTATGTATACAAACAGATAGGTACATTATTTCAAAATTAGACAATTTTTATAAAAGTTAAATTCTGGCACATCCTGTCTCACTAAATCCAAACAAAGTTACTACATCTGTGCATATTAATTTGTCAGAAACATTTTTTTTAAATCATCTTTTAGGATTTAGGTAAATATTGTTTGTCCCCACTTTTCTTTTATTCTTAGTATCTGTAAATTGTGAATCATCATAACTGGTTTTGGGAAAGGTAGTGGAGTGTAAAAGATTATTGGCTAGGAAAGTGCTATCAGCAAACAAAGTTCAAATTCCAGGTTTGTCTGTTACATTCACACTAATGCCTTTGAGAAGTTATGAATCTTTCTCTTCCCACCTTCCACTGTTGTTACTCCAGCAGGGTAGACTGAGCTCTTTATCCTTAAGGGACAACCAGTCTATGAGAAGGAAAATTGAATTCCAAACTATAGAGAAGGCAGCAGGAAACTATTTCCCTATCTTGAGAAGGCATGGTAATTCATATATAATAAAAGAAAAAGGAATCTGTGGTGAGGCATGATCACCTATGCCATTAAGGAACTTGGTTTAAAAAATAAAATCATAAAATAAAAATGGTGTTATTTCCAGCTATCTTCTACATTGATTGGAATTGATTTTTTGTTTCTCATAGACTGATTGTCCCAACAATGCTAGGGAGCCTAATCTACCCTACTATTTTACCAATAGGTGAAGTGGGGAAGAACAGGAATTCCTGCCTTTCCCAAGAACATTAATGTAAAGTGAAAGCAAAAATGTGGCCATAATTGGAACTCCAGTCTGCCAAATCCATTAAACTACCCACGCATTCTAAATAACCAGAAACTAAAAGCAAATCCCTTAAAACCAGTTCAGCCATTTTTAATAGATATAGAATAATTTGAAAACAGATCTAAATGAAAACAACATTTACAGGCTGTATTGGCCTACTTTATATATATATATATATATATATATTACTGAATCCAATAAACTTGATCATCTATTTTACTTATTTTTTCATTATTTAAATTTAATAAAATAAGATCTTTTTTTTTTTGTGTGTACCCAAGTCATAAGGAACACTGCTTTACCCAATATACAGTATTTTCTATGTGCAAATATTGATGAGAATGCATTCACAAAGAATTTTCAGTTTGAAACTGAACATTCCATCCAAAAAGGAAGGAAGGAAAATAATTTTATGGATTCCACCTTATGATTTTTTTTTTTATCATAAAGACAACAATATAAGGAATGGTAAACACACACACACACAGGTGGAAGGACATGACGTGTGTTCAAGAACAGAAGTTCACTTGCACTAACCAGCAGAATTCATTCATTCAGCATTATATAAAGAAAAAGAACTAAGTATAATAATAGGAAAAAAAAAAAAAAAAAAAAAAAAAAAAAAAAAAAGAAAGAAAAAAAAAAAAAAAAAAAAGAAATTAGGACCCAAAGTAATAATACATTTGTAAAGCATATGAAAATGATATTGATCAGGTGCCACAAATTTCTACAGGTAAAAAGAATCTCGATTACATTTACCTCGTTCATAATCAGTAGCATTGCCTAAGATACTGCTACACATTTTAACATTTTTTTGAAGTATTGCAATAATTGAAATATTCTTTAAAGTGTAGAAGACCGAAAATGACAAAACAATCCAGTTTTCTTTATATGTGTAAGCTAGAGATAATCAGTCAAAATATCTAATGTTGATTCTGTAAATACTTATTGAAAAACATCAATATGTAGAAAAATAATCAGGAATATAAAAATAAAATTAAAATTTTTTTTAATAGCATCTAATGAATTTTTAAACTGCAGTTCTTGATTATAAAACTCATCATAAATAACATTTCAAAAGGTTTCCACATGTAGAATCCTTTAAAAAATCATTTTAAAATATTAAAAATATATCTAATTAAATGAAAGCTCTTTTAAAAATATTTTTTCAGATTATTTTTTTTCTTTCATAACCCAATAAGTAGGTATTGCCAAAGATTGGCTAAAAAATGAGCATATATGATGAAAAAAATCCCAAAATGTTTATGTTATTATTAAAAGGAAAACCAAAGAAGACCCTATTAAAACCTTTTAAATTTTGGTTTTCTTGAGTCAGCAGGAGTCAAATTAGTATGGGAAATTTTAGCATCTTTTAGCAGTGCAAAACACATCAATTTGGAAATTCTAGCAAAAGATAAATGTCTTATTTTGATGAAACTTTCAAAACGAATTATTTTTGGAAAAAAAAAAATCTCCACTTATTTAATTTTATGAAATTGAGAAAATCTTTTTTTGTAGTGCTTAATGTTTATATTAGTTATAAGGACAAGTCCTCAGAAAATTTAAACTGCTATTAAATTAAGGCTGTATTTATTTATAACTGGAAAAGCTCACTACAATTGAACAACTCCCAATATTTTAAAAAGAATTTTGAATTTATGTGTATAAACATGTTGATTTTTGTATATATCAATGTCCAAATGTAACATTATCAGAAAATAAGAGTGGTAAATATAACAAAAGTTAAATTTTTGGTAATTTTTTTATTTTTTTTATTTCCTCAACATGCATCTTCATAAGTAAAACTATAAAGTCAAAAGTACCAGATTCAATAAATTATATTGCTTAGAATATAACTGGAAAAAAAATTACATAAAAAAGGCACTCATATTATATTTGTCAAGTAACTGTTAAATTATAAACTGCTTAGGAAAAAATTCCCAAGCATAAGACTAGCAAAAAAGTTGTCAACACCTCATAAAAAACAAAAACACCCACCTCCATGTTAAAAAGCTTTTCTGCGATATTTTAAACTAAAAGTAAGTAATATTCGCTTCCTATCAGATTATTTAAAATTTAAATTAGTTAATCTTTTTTAAAGTTTCAGAAAAGTATCTTATTTTTGAAAGATGTTTTTAGTAAAGAATTACGTTGAGTCGACAGATTTGTCAATATGGACGATTTTAGCGTTTTTACTCCTAATAAAAAAAAATTAAAAAAAAACTTATTCGAATCAATTTCAATTCATTTTAAAAATTTGCTCATTGAAAATATTATCTTTTAAAAAAAAGAAAAAGAAAAAAGCCTCAAGTAATTTTTTTTTTATTTTTAAAAATGCATTTTAGGTATCGCCTTTCTTTTTTTAAGCAACTAAAAAAATATTTCCAACCAAAAATTGTTTTATCACCGGTTTTATTTTCTGCGTTGAGGGCAGAGTTTCTGCCTTCGACGAAGTTTCAAAATGTAATTTAAACGGATTTTTTAATAATTCTTAGGAATTTATTTTATTTACCAAGAAATATGTTTCCTATCCAAACGATATGGAGGCTTGTTTACCATAAAAATATAAAATTGCTTAAAAAAAACAAATTTTCTTTACAGAATAATGGCGTTTCATAAAATTAATTCATTTTGTTTTTTAGTAAGTGCGCTAAATCTTAAATTGCAATTCGACAATGAGCTGCTTTGGGAGGTGTAATTTTTTTTTTTTTTAATCAGTGCGCCTACAAATAATACACTTTTTTTTACACTTATTTCTACAGGTAAAAAAAACTCTTGAAAATAATTTTTTTTTAAATCCATTTTTTTTTATATATATATTTTTGAATATATAATCAGTATTTTCTCGAATCCCTCCCGTGGTCACTTAGCAAATCCCTGGGTTTTAAAAGCCCACAACTCTCACAAGAACTTTAGCATGACTTTTTCAAGTTTAACCAATTATGTCAAAAAGTTTCAGAATGTCTGTTCATTATTTTTATACACGCAAAATAAGTGCTCTTTTTAGAATGGATAAAGAAAGAAATATTCGTATACCGAAGGGAGACATTTACTCGACTTAAGCATACAAGTCGATTCAACTAAATAAAGAACAAGTGAATTGAATTGGCAGAGCGGGAGAAATAAATAATAATAGTCTATCTAAGGAGGACACACACACACACACATACATACATACATACCCAAGTTATAGGATTGGTGTATATACGGAATAA